TTTCTTGTTGCTCTCTTTCTAATTCTTTGAGTTGTAGAATTAGATGATTTACTACCATTTTTTCTTGTTTGTTGAGATAGGCCTGTAGAGCTATAAACTTCCCTCTCAGGACTGCTTTCATTGTGTCCCATAGGTTTTGGATTGTTGTGTTTTCATTGTCATTAGTTTCCAGGATGTTTCGAATTTCTTCTTTGATTTCATTGGTAACCCAATCAATATTTAATAGCATGCTATTCAGCTTCCAGGTGTTTGAGTATTTTGGGTTGTTTTTATTGTAGTTTATTTCTAATATTATGCCATCGTGGTCTGCGAAGACGCTTTTTATGATTTCAATTTTCTTGAATTTGGGGATACTTTGCTTGTGACCCAATATATGGTCTATTTTTGAATATGTCCTATGAGCATTTGAGTAGAATGTATATTCCCTGGCTTTCAGGTGAAGTGTTCTGAAGATGTCTATTAAGTCCATCTGATCTAGTGAGTCATTTAGGATTGCTATATCTTTGCTGATTATTTGTCTAGAGGACTTATCCAGTGCTGTCAGTGGTGTATTAAAGTCCCCTACTATGATTGTATTGTTGTTGATGTCTCCTTTGATATCTTCCAGGAGTTTTTTTATGAATTTGGGTGCTCCTGCATTGGGTGCATATATGTTTACCAGGATTATATCTTCTTGTTGTATTGATCCCTTTAGTATTATGAAGTGGCCTTCCTTATCTCTTGTTATGGCCTTCACTTTGAGGTCTATTTTGTCCGATATAAGTATTGCTACCCCAGCTTTCTTTTCCTTTCCATTTGCCTGAAAGATATTTTTCCATCCTTTCACTTTCAGTCCGTGTGAGTCCCTTCTAATGAGGTGGGTTTCTTGTAGACAGCAGATGTATGGGTCATGTTTTTTTATCCATTCAGCCACTCAATGTCTTTTGTTTGGAGCATTTAGTCCGTTTACGTTTAAAGTTATTATTGAAAGGTACTTGTTTGTAGGCATTTCTGTTTTTGTGTGGCTGTTTTCTTTCTGAGCTTTTTATTTCTTATTTTTATACCAGTCCCTTTAGCATTCCTTGCATTGCTGGCTTGGTGGTGATAAACTCCCTTAGCCTTTTTTTGTCTGTGAAGCTTCTTATTTCCCCTTCAAGTTTGAATGATAGCCTTGCTGGATAGAGTATTCTTGGATTCAGTCCTTTGCTTTGCATCACTTTGTAAATTTCCGTCCATTCTTTTCTGGCCTGATGTGTTTCTGTTGAGAAATCATTTGACAATCTAATGGGAGATCCCTTGTATGTAACTTTCCGTCTCTCTCTTGCAGCCTGTAAGATTCTCTCTTTGTCCTGAACATTTGCCATGGTAATTATGATGTGTCTTGGTGTGGGTCTTTTTGGGTTCACCTTGTTTGGGACTCTCTGGGCTTGTGTGACTTTTTTCTTCCCCACCTCAGGGAAGTTTTCTGATATTATTTCTTCGAATAGGTTTTCTAATCCTTGTTCATCCTTCTGTTGTTCTGGTACCCCTATTATTCGTATGTTGTTTTGTTTCATGTTGTCCTAAAGCTCCCTTAGGCTCTCCTCCTGTCTTTTCATTTTTTTCTCCAATTGCAGTACGTTTTGGGTGTGTTTTGCTTCCTTGTCTTCTAAATCACTAATTCGGTCCTCTGCTTCTCCTAGTCTACTGTTGATACTTTCAATGGAGTTTTTCATTGCAGCTATATCACTCTTCATATCTTCTTGGGTCTTACTTAAGTTGTTGATTTTTTCATCTGTTTCTTCTAGCTTCTTCCATATGTTATCGATTTTTTCATCTGTTTCTTCTTGCTTCTTGCAGAGGTTGTCTATTTTTTCATCTGTTTCTTCTTGCTTCTTGCTGAGGTTGTCGATTTTTTCCTCCATCCGGTTTATGCACTCTAGGACCCTTATTCTGAATTCTTTTTCTGTCATGTTGCATGCCTCTGTATTACTTAGCTGCTTTTCTGGAGAGTCCTCCTTCTCTTTCCTTTGGGGGTTTCTTTGTCTACCCATGTTTGATCTCACTGACATATCTAGACGTTGAGTCGTTCAGTGGCTGCTCCCTTGGTGGCAGTGACTCCTTGGTCTGCGGTTCCTCTTCGGGCGGTTGCGGTAGCAGCTGCTCTTCAGTTGGCAGCAACTCCTCTGGTGGGTGCTGTTCACAGCTGTGGTGGCTCTTCTGGCTGGTGGGGCGAGGTTTCACGTACAGCTGCTGTTCCTCAGCAGAGGGTGTGGTGCTCAGGAGGTTGCTGTTGCTTGGATCTGCTGTGTTGATTTAAAGGCACAAAATACAACACAACAAGGCACCACGTACCAGGCACTATACACAAATATATTCACGATATTAATAACCCCAAATAAAGGTGAGCACCTGAATTAAGAGAATTAGGGGATAAGGAAAAGGAAGAGAAAAAGAGAAAAGAGAAAAAAGAAAAGAAAATTAGGGACCAAAAAAAGGAGTGCAAAAATGAAAGTGGGAAAAAGGAGGGGGGAAAGTAAAAGCGAGAAAAGAAAGGAAAAGAAAAAAAAAGAGCGAAAAGAGAGAATGAAGTGGAAGAGGGGAAGAGACTTTTTATATGAGGAGAATACTCCTATAGAACAGCCATTAATCCCAACAAATTCCAGCAACAGCTCCCTGGAGATAAATGCAAACTAGAAACAACCAATAATATAACGATGAAAATAGAATGGAGAACACTAATCCCAAAATAAAATAAAGAGAAAATAAAATGGCACTTTAAAAAAAATGGTAAAATGGTAGCAGTAATAATACTGGTTAAAAATAAGAAGGTAGTAATTAAAAGGGTAAAATCAGGTGATGGAAAAAAGAAGAAAAAAAAAAAAAGAAGAAGAAGAGGAAAAGAAAAAAAAAGAAAAAAAAAGAAAAAAAAATTGGTTTCTTAGTTAAAAGGTGAAAAAAAAAAAAAATATTGCAGTAGTGAAGGTCCTTCGGTTCTTCTATTCTTCAGTGTGGCTCGCCTTAGACCTGCCAGGTATTCAGGAGAGTGTTGAGTTTCCCTGCGATACACTGTTCCTCTGTGTTGTAAACCACAGTCCTTATTTTAAAGCAAGCCGCATTTGTTTCCCAGATTGCCTTATTTTGTGTTTGGCAAAGAGTCAGTTTGTGGGTCAGCCTCTGGGTGGCAGTGTTCTGGGGTTGGCCTCTGAGGCTACAGGGCCTCTCTGTCCAGTGGAAGTTCACTGCCCAGAGCTGGCTGCTTAAGAGTTACCAGTGCTGTGTTGTTGCTGGGATTGAAAATCCCTCTATAGGCCAGACCCTGTTAACTCCCAGGGACTGATCAGGTTATTTTAATCCTTGATCTCCTACAGGGTGGAATCTGGGTGTGGCTGTGCTCCTTGCCTGGGGGCTGGGGGGAGGAGTCTCACTCTCCGGAGAGAATGGCTGCCTCAGACGTGGGCTCAGGGGTGTCTCAGCACTCAATTCGCTGCCACCTCTCCCGGCCCCCCTTCTCTCCTCAGTCTCTCCCCAGATTCCACTCCTCCGCACACTCTCCCTCTCTTCAGCACAGGTGAGTGTCTGTATCCGAAATGTCCCATGAACAGGGTTCAGTGAAAACAAACAAACAAACGCCGGCCGCGGAAACGGGGAAGGCTTGGTTTCTGTAAGCTTCTTCTCTTACCGGGACTGCATGGTCTGGTCAGCTCTTCAGGCTGCCCCCTTTAGGCTCAGTCCTCCGTGATCACAGAACCCAGCTCGCAATTCCCCCGGCAGCGCCAGGAATCCCGCGGTTCTCCTTTCCCCCGTCAGGGGCTGTGCCTGTCCCAAGGGACGCGGCTGTCTGCCACGCGGTCTCCCTCCGACTCTCTGGGCTCAGAGGTCTGGCAAACTTTCCTGCCCAAATCCCTGGTTTTTTTTTACCTTTCCAGGGGAGTTCTGCTCTTCCCGGCTGTAAACCGTCTCGCCAGCTGAGGAATTTCGCCAATTCGGGGTGGATGTTACTAGTTTCAGCTGCTCACTCCATTTGCTCAGGGACACGACCTGGGACGCGTCTGCCTATACCGCCGCCATCTTCCTGAATCAATCCGTGCTATATAAGTCTTATGGGGTGGAGGGCAGCATTCAGACTAAGAGAACACAGATCTAGGAACTGTTATTTTTGATAGGGTTGTCGGGAAAGTTCTCACTGAGACGGTTCCATTTGAAATGGTAAGACAGAGCCCTGTGGATATTTGAGAAAAGAGTGTGTCAGGCAGAGGAAACAGCAGGGGCAAGGGCCCAAGCAGGAGGCACTTGCTATGCTGGAGAAACCCCAAGCAGGCCAGCTGGGCTGGAGTGAGCTGGAGGGAGGGATGGAGACACGAGGCCCGAGAGGTGGTGGGGAAGAGCAGGTCCCCTTTTCGGCCATGGTAAGGATGTTGTGTTTTAGTTTAAGAGTGTGGAAGTCATGGAAAATTTGAGGCAGAAGAATCAGGGATGTGATTTAAACAGATCATCTGGCTGCTATATGTAATTAGCAAGCATGGCAAAGGAGTCGAAACAGCCAGATGAGTTAAGGACATGGTGAGGGTATGGGAGCTTCACTACTGTCCTTCATGGTGACCAGTCTCTACCAGCCCTGACTCTGGTCTCCTGTAGTTCAGGCTCTGCCTTGGACCTGGAGCTTCTCTTATGTCAGGGACCACTCAACCCATTTCTGACATCCCCAGCACTTGGCACATCTTATTGAGTATCTGTTTACTCTTTTGTCTCCCTCTCTAGACTGGGAGCTTCTTAAAAGCAGGGTCTGTGCCTGCATCATGTTATATGATTTTCCCAGCATGATGACTAGCTCATAGCGGGCACTCAATAAATGTCAGCTGGGTGAATGGTCAGTGGCATCTGGCTCATTTTCCTCAAGACATAGTCAGATTTGGTTCACAAGGGGCACTTGAATTTAGAATTCATAGAATTAGCCCTGACTGGTTTGGCTCAGTGGATAGAATTCATAGAATTATTATTCCATATCCTGGGCTATTACTAATACCTGGTTTCTGTCGCAGGAGAATTTAAAACCTGCACAATCCTCTTTAGCGATGTGGTGACATTTACGAACATCTGTGCTGCCTGTGAACCTATCCAAATAGTGAATATGCTGAATTCAATGTACTCCAAGTTTGACAGATTAACTAGTGTCCACGAAGTCTACAAAGTAAGTGTCTGTGTCCTGCAGGGTGTTTGTCTGTGCTCTCGGGCAGGCAGGTCCTCAGTTGCTGGCCTTTCTCTTTACTGGTCTGGTGTTTGGTGTGGATGAGAGCAGGGTGAGGAGGAAGAGCTCAAAGGGAATTGGAAGTATTTTATAAATTTTAGTTTCTTAGGAACCCCTCATAATACCCAATACTAAGATGCTTGGGGGGTGGGTGGGTGTGGGCACACTGTTTTCCCAGAGAGGGGTCCTCCTACTCCTTAAATTTAGCATCAAATCTAAACCCAAATAATGCATATTGAATACACGGCATCTTACACCTACCCCAGCAGCTTCATCGTCCCTGTGATTTGTTTCTACCAGAAGCAGAGAGGCCTTTGGCTTTCTCTTGGTTGTTTTATGAGTCATTTTTCTTCCCACCTCCTTCTTCACACTCCTCATAGCCCTAGCAAATAATTACCACCCCTGATATGGTCCTTCTACCAACATGTGAAAAATGACAAGAATATCTAATGATATGTTTGGTGCATCTAGGAAAACCTCTGAATACCCTCTTTTTCTTACAGGTGGAAACAATAGGAGATGCTTATATGGTGGTTGGGGGTGTTCCGGTACCTATTGGAAGCCATGCTCAAAGAGTGGCTAATTTTGCTTTGGGGATGAGAATTTCTGCAAAAGAAGTGATGAATCCTGTTACTGGGGAGTCCATCCAGGTAGAGAGCAAGTGGATGATTGCTTAATACCAACCATCTCACACAAAAAAGTAGAATTCTTCTTATTTGTCTGCTTAAATGATTCCTGGGTATGTTACAGTAATTCAAGTGAATGATTTCTCCCAGCTCTTCTCTTGCATATGTTACTAAATAATAGAGATATAAGTCAGGATATTATCATTCCAACTTCTCTAAAATTTCAGAAGAGCCTTTGGAGCTCAGGATTTTCACATGATTCACTGCAAGTTTCTATGCCCATAATTTAGGACAGTGCTGAGCACGCCTCGTCACTTACTTTGTTGGAAGCCAGCTCATTTATAATTCCACCTTTTTGTTCACACATTTCAACAAGTGGTCAGGTTCACTCACTAGCCAACTTTTCCTGCTTAGAAAATTGTGAATCCCTCTTGCTGTTTGACAGGTTCAGAACCCAGGCTGAGGTGTGAAACTGTCTCCCGCCAGCAGGCCAGACACCATGGTGCCATAAGATATTCACAATAGCTTTCCTTCCACCACATGGCCATTAGGGAGACATCTGCTCTCCTTTCTCACAGGAAGCTACTTGTGCAGCTAGGTCACTCTATAAAAGTTGGGCAATTTAGGAAATGAAAAGTAAGTGTCCCCTTCTGTCTGCTCAGCAGATCCTAACTGTCCTGAGATGGCTTAGAACAGTGTTTCTGCCTTTTAAAATGTAAGCACTTCCCTGTTCTAATCAGTCAGATCTTCAAGTAGCCTACTAAACAGAAATAAAGCCAATTGTAGGATGGAATAAACCCTTATGCAGGAGACTCTGAAAATGTGTTCTACTCACCCTCACCACACTAATTTCGAAGCTGAGAAATGCTGCAGATACTGGTCATTGTGTCCACTGTAGTCTTCTGAGTAAAAGTTGGCTTTAGGTAATTGCAAGAACATTATGTCTACAATACTTGGCCTGATGTATGCACACAGATAAACCTGTTAAATAAAACCTCCAATATAAGAAATAACAAATTAAGATGAACGGGAATGAGGGGAGTAGAGATAAGAGATATGTTTAAAGGACTAATGGAAGCTATCAAAGAAAAAATGATTGAAAATATACTACTGTGTAAATAGTGTGTGTGTGTGTGTGTGTGTGTGTGTGTGTGTATGTGTGAAAGAAGCATAGCAGCAGAGGTATAAATCATGCTACAACGGTAAGAATGAAATTAAACAGTAAATTACTGGAAACTCTCATGGTGGGTTTACCAAGAAAAACAAACAAACAGAAAAAGGTATTGTCATTTCTAAGATAAGAATAGGGACATAATTAGGAGCATTTTAAGTATCCATCAGAACAGCATGTCATGTGGGTTTATTTAAGGCAGTAGGAAAAGGACTAGAAACATTTTCTCTCTTAATATAATTGTGCTGCATTCCTTTTCTTTTTTTTACACGATAATGAAACAAAGACAATTTTATTCAAATTCTCAAAAACTATTACTCAATGTGCTGTTTCTAAAATGTATGTCATCCTTTATGTAATGATTTTATTATTTTATCTTTCCTTTATTTGCTGTTTTTGTTGTTGTTTGTGGGGTGGTTTTTATTTTTATGTTTTTGGCTTTTCTTTATAGTCTTTTAGTAGAAGCCAGAGTCTTAAGTTGACCAGTTAGCATACTCTGGCCTACTATTCTGACTAAATTTCTTCTCAATATTCATGGCCAACATCTGGCTTCTAAATGAAAGGCTTTTGGTCTTTTCAATCACTTGCTGACTGCATTGTTACCATAACCACATGAATAATTTAGAATCAATCTTGGCATCCAGTTACAATCCACCTTTAGCTTCTTTTGTTGTCATATTCAGTTTATTTCATATTTCATTTCTACAGTTTTAAAATTAGTACTCTTTGAGATCTATTGTTTAATTAATATAGCCTTTAGTATACTTTTGCAGAGGTCGTACGATGCATGAGACAATATTACTAGGTGTTTTGAAGGATTCAGAGAACTATATTAAAGGCTCCTTTTCCTAGAGGAATTTATAATCATATTTCAGGAGAAAATCTATAATTAAAACAAAAAGAAAAGTAAAACTGGTTAAGATGTAGAAAGCTGCAAGAGCTATTTGCATACTAGAACTTAAAAAACAAAAACAACAACAACAAAAAAAAATAGCAAAGAAATATAAATGAGCTAAATTCTAGAAAATGTCAAGCCCTTTCAAGGAGAAGACACCCATAATTACATTCACCACTAGTAGAGTGGCAGAAGTAATCCACCAGAATTGAGGGTAAGGAGAAACCAGTCTAAATTTTAGTGAACATGTTATGGCCACTCTGGGGCTGAAATGACAGGTTAGAATCTCCCAAATCTTGTCTTTGATATGTCCTGGCCACAGAGGCTGTACCCATCTACCAACTCTTTTCCATAGGCCTTCACCAAGTACATAGGGTTATTCAGCCAAAGGAGAGGGATCAGAAAGGAGAGTTGAGAGAGATCTCAGTTCCCGAGGTATATAGGGCCTTCCCCAAATGCAAGGGAGTGGCCTATGGAAGGGTGGTGTTAGAGAAGAAGAACTAAGAGAAATCCCTCTGAGGTACTCTTGGAGTTCACCAAATAAATTACAATGACCCTTTGAAGTCTGGAGGCAGAGAGAAATCTCCTCAGGTAGGGAGAGCCATGGTAGGACTGATGAGGTTCTCAGAACTTTGCTAGTGTTCAGATCCCAAGTTCTGCTGAGTGAAAGTCCCTATCCAGTCTTTGTAACATTTGAAATCAGTGCTCTGTAAAACCAGCAATATACCTGGAAAAAGCCAAGACCCCACTCAGATACAGATTGGTTCATTCAGTCTCCACTCTAGCAGTCTGACAAAGAATGACTATAAACTTTTGTGATGGGTAAATATTACCTACCTTAGTCTCTATTGTACTTTTACACACAATATGAGACATATAATTAAATAATTTAAAATATGAGATGCAAGAAGACACAATAAATGGTGATGTGTTATATAGCCAAGAGAGGAAATAGTTAATAGAAGCATGTCCAGAGATGGCTTAGATATTGGAATTACTAGACAGAGTCTTTAAAATAACTATGATAAATATTTTAAAGGATCTATTGGAAAGGGGGAAAAAGTTGAATAGTTTGGAAGCACACACACACTTTATCTACTCTCTCTATTATCTATTTATTTACTATCTCTCTATGAACCTATCTATTAATCAATCTATCTATCTTGCCCATGGAAATAAAAACCATGATATCAGAAATCAGAAGTAAAGAATTCATTTTATGGTGTTAAAAGAGACTAGACAAAGTAGAGGAAAGGATCAGAGATTTTAAAAACAGAGCAATAAAAATTATCCAAACTGAAACACAAAGAAGAAAATTGTAAAAAAAAAAAAAAAAAAAAAAAAAAAAAAAAAAAAGGAAGAAGAAGAAGAAGAAGAAGAAGAAGAAGAAGAAGAAGAAGAAGAAGAAGAAAGAAACAGAGCATCCTACATCTGTAGGACAATATGAAACGGACCACCATATGTGGAACTGGAGTCCTAGAAGGAAAATAGAATGAATGAGAATGGCTCAGAAGAAATATTTGAAGAAACAATGGTTGAAATTTTTCAATATTTATGAAAGATATTACCCCACATTTCTAAGAGCTTAGCAAACTACAACAGGATAAATACAATACATATAATATGTAGTCACATACAGTGGGGCCTTGACTTACGAGTTTAATTCATTCCGTGACGGAGCTCGTAACTCAAATTACTCGCATGTCAAATCAATTTTTACCATTCCAATGACACGTGATGCTGGGCTGATGTTGTGACGTTCATTGTGACATTTGCTGCGCCAACTAGTGGTGGGGTATCTGAAGCTGGCTCGTAACCCGAATTTTAGCTCACAACTCAAAGCAAAAAATCGGCCGAGAGACGGCTTGTATCTCAAAAAACTCGTTAGTCGGGACACTCGTAAGTCAAGGCCCCACTGTATATAAAAAATCCTACCAGTGCATTAAGGCAAAAAAAATAAATATAAGACATAAAAACTGGAAAGAGAGAAGTAGAATGATCATTATTCACAGCCCAAATAATGGTGCATCTAATAAACCTTAACAAGCTATAGTAAATTACAAGATCTAAATAGTAAGTCTATCAAGGTCTCAGTATACAAGGACTATACACAAAAAATATTTGAATTTTTATGTTCTAAGAACAAAAAGTTAGAAATTAAATAAAAACAAACTAGTCTTAAATCTAGTCTTAAATCTTAGAAAAGAATAAAATTGGAAGATGTAGAATACTGAATCTCAAGACTTATTCTAGAGTAATAGTGACAGGGTAGAATTGGCAGAAGGATTAAAAAATAAATCATTGGAGTAGTATAGAGTGCCTAGCAGTATAGAGTACATATTTAAGGTCAATTAATTTTTGACCAAGGCATCAAATCAATTCAGTGTGGGAAGGAACCCTTCTTGAGAGATGTTTCTGTTACAATTTAATAATTTAATAAAGAAAAATGTACCTCAAACCTCCCTCACTTTATATATATATAATTAATTTAATATGTATTACAGACCTAACATAAATTGTAGAACTATAAAGCTTCTTCAAAGCAAATATAGGAGAATAGCTTCATGTCTTTGGGGTAAGCATTTATTTCTTACATAGGACACAAAAAAGCACTAACAGTAAAAGAAAAAAAGATAAACTTCAATGTTATGGGCCAATTGTGCCCCCTCCTGAAATTTACATATTTACATGTAACCAAGTACATAGGGTTATTCAGCCTAAGGCTAGGGATAAGGAAGGATAGTGGAAGAAGAAAGAAATATTTACAGATCATTATTTGGAGGCAGGGCCTTTACAGAGATGATTAAATTGAGATGAGGCAGTTAAGGTGTGTTTTAATCCAGTCATACTGGTGTCTTGATAGAAAGAGAAAATTTGGATACATGAACAGATACCACAGATACATGCAGACAGGGAGAAAACCATGCAAGGGCACAGTAAGCAGTGGCCACCTGCCAGCCAAGGAGAAAGGCTGCAGAGAAACCAAACCTGCTGACATCTTGATCCTGGACTTCCAGCCTCTAGAACTGTGAGAAAGTAAATTTCTGTTGTTCAAGCCACTCAGTTTGTGGTATTTGGTTATGGCAGCCCTAGAGAACCAATATGTTCTTAGAATTTTTACATTTCTGTATATTAAAGAAATTAAATATACAAAATCACAAAATGGAACAAATATTTATAATGTATATATTACATATCTAAATATATATAGAACGCCTATATATAAATAATAAAAGATAAACAACTAAACTTTTTTAAATGAACAAAAATCTTGAAAAGACTTTTCACAAAAGATAAATATGAATGGACAATGCATACATAAAAATGTGTTTAGCATCATTAGCCATCAGGGAAATGCAAATTAAAACCACAATGAGATATCATTTCATACCCACTATAAGACCAAATGGTGGTGAGACTGAGAACAACTGGAATTGTCACATTGCTCATAGAAATGTAGAATGGTTTCAACTTTGGAGACTTGTTGGGCAAAGTTTCTTTCACTTTTCTTTTTTTTTCCCTTTGGAAACATTAAATATACATCTACCTTGTAACCCAGAAATTCCACTTCTGGGTCTTTACCTGAGAAAAATGAAAATGTATGTCCATAAAAGGATCAGTACAAGAATGTCCCTAACAGCTTCAAACTGGAAATAACCTAATGTTTATGTTTGGGAATAGGAGACTGAATAAATAAATTGTGATATATGCTTACATTAGAATAGTATTGAGCAAAAAAGGAATGAACAACCGGTACATACAACAGTATGGTGGATCTCAAAGACATTATATTGCATAAATGAAGTCTGATTCAAAACAGGATATCCTACATAATAAAAGCCTATATGCTGAGTGTCCGGTCGACTGGTTGGCCATTCAACCAATCAAAGCGCAATATGCTAATGATATGCTAATGCTGCTCAACAGCTCACTATGACGTGCACTGACCACCAAGGGGCAGACGCTCCAACCAGTAGTTTAGGTTGCTGCTGGGGTCCGGCCAATCAGGACTGAGCAAGATGGGCCAGACATGCCCTGGAGCCTTCCTGCAGTCCCTCCCTGCTGGCCAACCTCCCACATCACTCCCCGACCACAATCATGCACCGGTGAAGTCCCTCGGCCTGGCCTGTGCCCTTTCTCAATCTGGGACCCCTTGGGGGATGTTGGACAGCTGGTTTCGGCCCAATCCCACAGACCAGGCTGAGGGACCCCACTGGTGCACGAATTCATGCACCAGGCCTCTTGTACTATATAATACCTTTTACGTGAAGTTCTAGAACAGGCAAATTAATCTATGGTCAAAGAAATAAGAAGGTGATTGCCTCTGCTGAGAGGATAGAACTGAACTGGAAGGAGCCCAACATATTTTATGAGATCTATATTAGCTAATCTATAATTTATTTTGGATGGTGGCTATAGGATAAACACATTTGTTGAAACACTTAAGATCTTTTATTTTATGTAAATTATTCCACAGTTTAAAAATAAGAGCAAGAATATTTGATGGTCTCTTTTCAGTGAGGTTTTCTCTTTACAGATCAGAGTAGGGATTCATACTGGACCGGTCTTAGCAGGTGTCGTGGGGGACAAGATGCCACGGTACTGCTTGTTTGGTGACACTGTGAACACAGCTTCTAGGATGGAAAGTCATGGGCTTCCCGACAAAGTGCACCTCAGCCCCACAGCCTACAGGTAACCACTCACTCACTCATGCTCTCCTTTGTCCCTTTTCCTTCCAGAACTTACAGAGGGCCTAGCAGCCAGGAGATTGGGTAGTGGAGGAAACCTGTGTTTTTTCTTCCACTCCACACTAGCTTACAGAAGACATTGTGTCAGACAATAGATATTGTTGAGCCTCCGCTATAAGATAGTTTTGCTCTCAAGGAGCATAAAATCTAGATGTATATTTAATATTACCAAAAAAAATAGCCCAGAGGCCAAATTCAGTCTGCCACTTTATGTTTATTTTCGTAAATAAAGTATTACTAGAACACAGCCATGCTCTTATTTACACACTGTTTATGGCTGTTTTCATGTTACAACAGTAGAGTTGAGAAGTTGTGAAAGACTGGATGGCCCACAAAGCCAAAAATATTTACTATCTGTTTATTTGTTTGTTTGTTTAAAATACCTTTTTATTGACTTCAGAGAGAGGAAGGGAGAGGGAGAGTTAGACATATCAATGATGAGAAAGAATCATCGATCAGCTGCCTCCTTCATGCCCCTTACTGGAGATGAAGCCAGCAACCAGGGCATGTGCCTTGATGGGAATTGAACGGTGACCGGAATTGAACGTTGATTCATGGGTTGACTCTCAACCACTGAGACATATGGGCTGGGCTGCTATCTGTTCTTTTATAAAAAAAGTTTGCTGACCCTCAGTCTAGTGCAGCGGTTCTCAACCTGTAGGTCGCGACCCCTTTGGGGGTCGAACGACCCTTTCACAGGGTCGCCTAAGACCATCGGAAAACACATATATAATTACATATTGTTTTTGTGATTAATCACTATGCTTTAATTATGTTCAATTTGTAACAATGAAAATACATCCTGCATATCAGATATTTACATTATGATTCATCACAGTAACAAAATTACAGTTATGAAGTAGCAACGAAAATAATTTTATGGTTGGGGTTCACCACAACATGAGGAGCTGTATTAAAGGGTTGCAGCATTAGGAAGGTTGAGAACCACTGGTCTAGTGGAAGAAGAAAGAAATATTCACAGATCATTATTTTAAAAGTGTGATAAATGATAAAGTTATACATAAAATGATACTTATGGTTTTTTGAGAACTTACAAGAGGTCACATTCTGTCCCAAGTTTTTTTTTACATATGTTAGTTCATTTATTGTTACAACAATTCTATGAAAATATACTATTATTATTATTATCTACAGATGGAAAAAATCAGGCACTAAAAGGTTAGTAACTAGTTGCCTTAGATCACAGGTAGACTAGGAAGGAGAAGAGCCTGGATACAACCCAGGGGATCAGGCCTGGAGGGATTACAGTGTGTGTGATGGGGCAAGGATGCCCAAACCAATACAGAAATTCTTTGTGGAGGAGGATATTCCTGAGTGGAATCTTGAGCAAGGAGTTCCAGAGTAGGATTTAGCTCAAATTGGGGTATTGGGAGTGAAAAACAAGCAGGATAAACACTGAGGTAGAATCAGTACAGAGACTTATAAACAATTAGCTTACTGAGGGGCTAGGGCTCACACAGTAGGTGAGGAAGAGCCCCCAAGGAGGGTGAGAGCACAGTGGCAAGGCCAGGGTCCTGTGTGAGCTCTCCGCTCAAAACCAAGTAGCACAGATATGAGCATCAAGAAACGGGAAAGAGAAGAGCCGTTAGGAGTTTGATTTGAATCAGACATTGGCAGTGGGAATTTAGGGGAAGGTAAAATCAGCTAAACTTGGTAATTACTAAAAATGGGGAACGAGAAAGAGGGAGATGCCTCAAATGTCTCCCAGGTCTCCACCTTGGGGGACTAGGGCCTGAACCTCATCATCTGAAATAGGACAGGTAAGAGGGAGTCCCGGTCATCACGGCAGATGGCGAGTTCAGGTTTGGGAGTGTTGAATTCAAAGGAATTGTGGAACATCTAGGTAAAGGTGCAATGAAATGGATGAATAATATCTGAAGTGGAGTTGTTGGTTGGGCGTCCAGATTTGGAGTAAGCAACACATAGGTAGTAATTAAGCCATGAAAGTTGGTAAGATCACCGGGGGAAGGATGCAGTGTGAAAAGAACAGCGGCAGGTGGAGAAAGAGGAGGCCGGGTATGAGGTGGAAGAAACAGAAAAGAACCAGGCATGGAGGTTCAGGGAGAGAAGTGCCCTTGTGGATATTTTTATGGGGGAGAAATTGAACAAACATGACAAATATAGTAACAGGACTGAAAAATATTCACCAGAGGTTTTGGGGGACATTTTCAGAAGTTGTGGTAGACTTGTGGGGATAGACACTGGATTATGGGTTGAAGGATAAAAAGAAGAGAGCATTTTGGAGGGATTAAAGCAGGATAGAATCAAGTGAGAAATTCTTTTGTTTCTATTTAGGATGAAAGAGATCTTAACATGCTTACAGGCTGAGGGAGGATGCAGATGGAGAGGGAGCGGAAGCTGAGGGGAGAGTTGGCTGATGGGGCCTGGGCCTGAGGAGGTGGTAAGGAAGCATGGATGGGGTGCTCTTGGACAAGACACCTCATCCTCTGAGACTGGGGAAAAGGGTGGATGTGGTCAACGAGATGAGCAGTTGCTGGGTCTCACCTATAATGATTAAAATTTCATAGATTAATCAGATCACAAGTTAGGAGGCCAGGTCAGCTGGTTGAGAGTGAGGAGAGAAGGTGCCAAATGAGGGAAATTGAGGAGTGTGGTGAATGTCTGAAACCTCCATGAAACTGGTCCAGGACAAGGGAAGGTTGATGAGTGCTGAGACCTGGCTGAGGCAACTGACCATGAATTGGAAACATTTCTAGTTTGCACTGTTCTGTGGTTCTCCTCCAACATCTCTCAACGGCCAGTTAATAAATAAACATTTTATAGTTTTTCCATAACTCTGTCTCTTTTCATGGTCCCCTTTTTATCCTCTTCCTGGGCTCCTTGGCAGTCAGAAATCAAGGAGTAGCTTGGGTAGTTAGGATGAGCATGATGACACCTTGGGGGTATATCGGGGACTTGGAGAAGGTGGAGAGAAGAGGGCTGATCTCCTAGGGGCCCCTTGTTTCAGAACCATGCAGAGATGGTGCACACACAGGCATTGGGATGTGGCTGTAGAGGTGTGAGGGCTGCGGGTCTGAGCTTGGTGCTAGAGGGAGGAGAGGTGGTGATCAGGTCACAGCGTTTTGGTGGGACCCCTGTGCTCTCCCTCTCCCTTCGGCACCCTGTTCAGGTGTCTGAGCTCATGCCTCCCTCCTCCCGCCTCCTGCCTCTTTGCCACCTTTAGCAGGCCCTACTGATGTGTCAGGCACGCTTCCGCTGTGCCTGAGCCTCAGACATCTCCTCTCTCATTATCCGTCCCATTGCAGCCAACTCTCCCGTTACAGACCTGTCTGTGATCTTTGATATCTGGTGCATTTATTTTCCCTCTGTACAGAGCCCTGGAAAACCAAGGGTTTGAAATAATTAAGAGAGGTGAAATCCAAGTGAAAGGAAAAGGGAAAATGACCACATACTTTCTGATCCAGAACTTGAATGCCTCAGAGGATGAGATCATGGGGAGACCTCAAACTCTGCTTGTGCACAAAGGTAAGCCAAGAAGAGAAGCCTCATTATGGGTGTGAATATTTTCCCACTGACCATGGCAGACATGTTTAGCGTGGTCCTTCGGTTTGCAGGGTCAGCGTGGGTATCATCCCTCACCACAACCAAGCTGTTACCTTCCATTCGGTAACAGCTCCGGAGAATCAATGCAGCCATTTTGCCCTGAACGCTCTTCCCTAGCAGCCTGGATGTTATGCCATTCCTTGAGCCAAGCTGGTAGACAGTCTAAGGGTCTCTCACACATTTGTTTTCAAGGTTCTTCCCTGTCCTAGAAATGAGCTTTTCCCATGAGCCTCTCCTGCGGCTGGGCGGGTTCCAGAGCCTGCCTCTGCCCCTCAGCCTTGGGGGCTCGGGAACAGGCTTTCCTCACACACTGGAACCTTTCGCCTTCCTCATTTTCTGCTGGCTTCCAAAACTGGCTTCCAAAACTGGGAAGAAGGACAAAATCCGTGACTCACCCAGCTCCAGGAATGACAAAAGAATGAGTTTGGGTTTAAACCACCTAGTGCTAAGCTGGACCAGAGATCACTGTTTGGCTCATTGTGCTCAGAAAAAGCAGCACATGCAATTCAACAAGGGTCTCCTTCAGCTGCAAGGTGGATCCCATCCACCCCAGGTGGTCAGGGCCCCTTAACAAGGATCCAGGTTAATGCTGGGACACACTGACAGGAAGGGAAACCCAGTAGCAGGAGGCAGACCATCATGAACTGCTGAACCAAACTGGAGAACAACATGGATTTATTTGGACAGAAACTAATCTTTAGCTGCTCCAGGGTCCTGCAAAGAACAATTTCTAAATCCAGTGGTTTCTCATTTACATAGTTAATGTATGCAGGATGTGTCTTTGGGACATGAAATATGGCTATTATTCTTATAATTGGGGTAATACCAACAAACAGATGGGTATTTGAAGGAATTTTAAAATTGTTTTCACAGAGCTTTTATTCTAATACCAGCTCACTTTAGTGGCCTTGTGAGCTGCTATTGGTTTGGGCCACATTTTACTGATGGAGACACTGAGATAAATCTAAACTAAAAACTAGAAATAGCTGGCTAATGAAAGTCAGGAGCCGCCCTGACTGCTATGCGAGCTTTTGGTCTCCAGATTTCTAGGCTCTAGGGGCCTTGCCCACCAACCTCATCTTCTTCCTCCTCCATATCCTCCCCACAATACAAAGGGTTGCTAGAGGGGGATAAACAACCATTTTTTCTATTTTTTCTTGGTTATCAGAAGCAGACAAAGTGAAGGGGGTGGGGTGTTTTGCCCCCTCCTCGTGGGAGAGAAGAAGACAGAGCTGAAGGCTTTAGCACCAGGACCAGAAAGAACCTTGCTCAGAAGGCGTGCCTCGCTCAAACCTGGCACTACTTTCTCCCATTCCCACTGCAGGGGTTCCTAAACTTTCCAGTTTGAAAAACGGGATTCTAGGTCTGGGTCAGTAGAATCTAGCCTGCTTTCAGTTCTGAGCTGGAAAAACCAAAGAAAAGAAAAATAACCAAGTAGAAAACTTGTAATGGTGCCTCAACTGAAGATCTCAGTATGGACCCTGAGAAACAGGGGAGTGGGGGCGGGGGCAGAGAGGGAGAGGTCGCCTCTCTCAGACGCAAACAGTGTCTCTGTGCAAACTGGGAAGTAGGTAGCCCCCAGGCACGGCTTATAATAGAGAGTCACCCCTTCCTCTGGGCTGACACCAGCGTCCCCCCACCCCCGCCCCGGCCTGATCCCCTTGGCCAGGTACTAGTACCTCCAAAGAGAAATGGCACAACCTAGTGTGTGGAACCCAGAGTGGAGGTCTCAGCTTTCTTTTTGTGCTTCTGTGCATTTCCCTCGCCCTTTCCTCATCGGCCTAGGATTTCCGCAGGCAGCCTCAGCCTCCAGGCTCTGGGGCAGGGGTGCCTGCCCTCCTGTCCCCACTGGAGTGCAGCCTGGGAGGTTCCGGCAGGAGCTAGAAGGGCAGCAGACCCTGGCTGACACTGCTTCCTAAATGTCAGAGGCTCCGGAATGTGACCCCACTAACCAGCAGGGGCGGAGTTTCTCAAAGCAGGTGACGGAGGAGGGGATGCAGAAGCACTAAGATGCATGCAATGCGCTTCCCAAGGGCGCCTCCTTCTCAGATTGGCTCCCACGGCGCACACACACACACTGGCTTTTCAGGCGATTCAGGGAGGCCTGGGAGGGACACAACAAGATGGACTTGAGGAGATTTGAATGCGCACCCCGTGCTGAGAGCGGTAGACCAGCAGGAGGTGGCAGGCGCCTCAGCAGCGCCTTCCCCCTCTCAACCCGCCTTGCCCCTGACAGAGGATACCCAGGAGGCAACAGGAACAAGAAAGGATGGCGTCCAGGAGAGCTCTTCCCCAAGCCTTTTTCCTTTCCCCCTTTTGCTCTCCAAAGCAGGGACTTGCTCCTCCTTCTTCCAGGTGGTGAATGCATTAAACACACTAATGTCTTGTGGCCTCCCCAGCAGTGATGTCGCCCAGTGGACGCTCCTGTCTGTCCAGTCCTTCGCGATGGGCACCTGAGCGAATCCCAGGGGCTGCTCATGTCAGAGGCACCGCTAGGGAAGGCTGCTCGCACGTGTGTTCTCACTTTTCCTTCTCCTCATGCTTTTTGGCAGGAGCTAGTGCTCAAGAAAGTCAAGACAGCGAAACTGTGGTGGTCACAGGGGTCATGAGGTACACAGACAGCCAGCAGCCGCTCCGGCCCAGAGACGCAGGCCATGGTGAGTGCCAGAGCAGCCGCGAAGCCCCAGCGCTGTGCTGCGCGTGGAGAGGGCTGCGGGCTCAGAGTGCGGCTCCTGGGAGACAGAAAGAGCCAGAAGGGCACAGCTCGGGCGGAGTTTGGGGTCCTGGGCCGGAAGCCTTGGACTAGCTGCTTACTGCATTTTGAATAAGTTTTTTAATGCTTTCCCACCCACTCACCTCCCCACCCCAACTGTCCCAGGGAGGCCCCTCTGAGTATCTCTAATGCTCAGAAAAACTAATAGTCTCCACGCCCCCACTAAATGAAGTTACTGTGCACACTGCCCGCAGTGCGGGCCTCCTAATGAGAAGTGTGGGCGACCTCTCGCCTTGCCACCCTATGGTGCTTCATAGAGGACCCAGATCCCTGGCACTGCCACAGAGAGTTGGCCCCGTGATCCCCCTCCGCACTTTGTCCTTGAAGGTGGGAGGGCGGGGAGGTTTCTCCCAATTCAAGCTGCTCTCAGCTGCCCTGGTGAGCCACTTGGCTCCCTCGGGAGCCATGCTCGGGCACAGCTGGGTTTTGAGGGTGGGTCACAGGAAATGATGAAGGGCCAGGGAGGGCCTGCATAATGAGTCCCTGTAGCAGCAGCACCCCCACACCTCTCCCTTCTGGGTTGTGCAGCCCCAGCCACCCTCTCCCTTTAGGGAAACCCCACTTAAACAACCCAAATGGAGTGAAGCTTTGAGACAAGGTCGCAGGGTATGTCTGTGACAGAGTACAGTGTCCCAGGGATTTTTCAAAAACCATCCGTGGTCACTGAGAAAATGTCATAAGACAATGGATAATTCATGTGAAGAATTAGAACAGTTTAATGATTCATATACTGAAGAGTTAGCTATTGTTACTTTTATTAGACAATGTCTCTTAGATTGAGTGTCACTTGAGCCCTTGGCATTGGGCATTGCCCAGATGCCTGAAGACTTCTCTCTAGTTTGATCCCAGTGCCTGAGGTTGAGGGAATGATCAGCACCCTTCTGTTCAGTTCTGGTGAGAGGAGACCAAGCACAGCTTTCCTCCTCCTGATCTGGAGACAGGTGGATCCTTGGATTCTGGGAAGCTCGAAGTGGACTTTGTGCCCTTACCCAGAGGCACTTCCTACAGTTGCATGCTTCTGAGAGTGCTCAAGCTCCAATAGCTGTCAGTGCTATTACAGTATGGAATTAGTCCCATGGCTATTCTCAGAACACTGGTAAGAAACTAGAAATTCTGAAAGGTCATAACCTATCTAATAAAAGAGAAACATGGTAATTAGCCGTACCGCTGCTACCCTTCCCATTGGCTAATCAGGGCGATATGCAAATTAACTGCCAGCCAAGATGGCGGCCGGCAGCCAGACAGCTTGAAGCGAACATGAGGCTTGCTTGCTTCAGTGATGGAGGACTCCAACATTCTCCGCCTGCCGCTGCCGGCCTCTGAGCTTTCAGTTTGAAACATTGTTACAAATATAGAAGCTAAACAAAACCCCAGAAACCTGCTTTCAGCCAGCCAGAATCTCAGAGCTGGAGTTGAAACAGTGTTTCGATTATAGAACCCAAACTAACCAGATACCTGCTTTCAGCAGCTGAGGCCTCAGAGCTGGAGCCAAGCCTCAGAGCTAAAGCTGGCCCAGAATAAAAAGAAAAAGAAAAAAAGGAGCGGTTGGGAGCTTCTGTCACCTGCCAGCCTGAAAACAGCCCTCTGCCCCTCACCCAGACTGGCCAAGCACCCCAGTGGGGACCCCCACCCTGAAGGGTGTGTGACCAGCTGCAAACAGCCATCAGCCCCCCACCCAGGCTGGCCAGGCACCCAAGCGGGACCCCCACCCCGATCCAGGACACCCTTCAGGGCAAACCAGCCGGCCCCCACCCATGCACCACGCCTCCATCCTATATAGTAAAAGGGTAATATGCCTCCCAGCCCCGGGATCAGCGGAGCCTCGAGGCCTCCCGGCACCGGGATCAGCGTGACAGGGGGCAGTGCCCAAACCCCCTGATCGCCCTGCAGCTCTGTGTGTGACAGGGGGCGGGGCCACAACCTCCCTATCCACCCTGCTCTGTTCGTGACAGGGGAAGGCGCCCCAACCCCCTGATCAACCCTGCTCTGTGCCTGATAGGGGGGAGGTCCCCAACCCCCTGATTGCCCTGTGGCTCTGTGTGTGACAGGGTGCGGCACACCAACCTCCGCCCCCCCCCCCCCCCACGGGCCCTGCTCTGTGTGTGATGGGGTAGAGCCATAACCTCCCCATCGGCCCTGCCCTGAGTGTGACAGGGTGCAGCGCCCCAACCCCCTGATCCACCCTGCTCTGTGTGTGATAGGGGCGGTGCCCCAACTCCCCTATCAGCCCTACTCTGTGAATGACAGGGGTTAGCTCCTCAACCCCCTGATTGGCCCTGCTCTGTGCGTGAGAGGGGGGAGCTCCCCAACCCCCGATGGGCCCTGCTCTGTGCATGACAGGGGGCAGAGCCCCAACCCCCTGATTGGCCCTGCTCTGTGCGTGACAAGGGGTGGCGCCGCAACCTCCCCATCAACCCTGCCTTGAGTGTGATGGGGGCGGTGCCCCAACCCCCGAATCGGCCCTACCCTGAATGTGACTGGGGGTGGCATTGCAACCTCCCGATCTGCCCTGCTCTGTGCATGACAGGGGCCGGCGCCCCAACTCCCCAATTGGCCCTGCTCTGAGCCCGACCAGGGGCTGCACCTAGGGACTGGGCCTGCTCTCTGCCACCCGGGAGCAGGCCTAAGCCAGCAGGTCGTTATCTCCCGAGGGGTCCCAGACTGCGAGAGGGCACAGGCCAGGCTGAGGGACCCTGCCCTCCGTCCCGAGTGCACAAATTTTTGTGCACCAGGCCTCTAGTAATTTATATAATAGCCCACAACTCATAAGCGGGAGAAATAAGACTTGATCTTTAGGCTTGTTTGTGTGGGGCAGACCATGTCCATGTGAGCCCTCTGAGTAACAGGCCCAAATGATTTTGTTTACCCCAAGTGGGATGCTGCTGCACTTGGACTGCTTGGCTTCACAGTGGCCCAGCCATGCTTCTCTCAGATCCTCTGGGCCCCATTTGAACAGATTTCTGATTATTGGGTGTGGCTGGCAGATGTATTAATATGGAATAGCTGACACACTGTAGGGACTGATAGAAAGTGCAACATGAGCCAGAGGCTTGGAGAAATGAGAACCAAGCCAGTGCGCCACTGGGCCTCACGTTAGCTATCCAAACCCAGACCTACCGAGTCAGAACTGCTTTTAACAACTTCCCCAGGTAATTTGATTTTGAATTTAACCCAACACAGGCTTCTTCCTTATCTCTAATGGTTGGCAGCAGACACAGATTTTAGCCTTGACGGTTTTGTACCACCTGCTCTCAGCGCCTGGCCTTTCATTGAGGTTTAGGTCCCAGTTCTCATGGGGTTTGGCTAGGTCTCATAATGTCATACTTAGCTAGGAGGTAGGTGAAGGCTGCCAGGGTCACTGCAGAAGCCCCCACTCTCACCTGTAGCCCCAGGGCCATTCCGCCTGGCCCCCACGTGGACGTCATTATGGGAAAGTGTTTCCACCAGTAGCCCAAACCTGTCAGGGCTCCCAAATTAAATGGCTGTTAGATCCTTCTACCTTAGAGATCTGCCTGTTTCCCAGGCACTAGGCAGTCGGGAAAACATTCCAGGCTCAACTCATTGATCACGTCTGCCACAAAACTCACAGGGTATATTACCTGGTTGACAAACTTATGACCGCTCTCCAGGGGCATTTTCATCTGACTTGGCTCCCTGGTGTGGGAATCAGCCTTGCTCCCCTGTGAGGACTCTTGCTCCTGTGAGGTCTCAGGGTCGTGGCAGCACACGCAGCTGCGGTGCGGCAGGAGCACGCCACCTGGACCCCTCTCGAGGGCCAGCTGAGATGGGATGCTCACCCCTTCCTTCAGCTTTCTCTCAAAAGGAGGCCCATCCAATGTCCGCCCATCAGCTGGGGCAATCGGAAAAGCTCCAGTGGGACCCAGGCCGCAGGCTGCACCCAGGGCCTCATTTGCACTTCAGTAACACGCCTTTCTTTCACTGAACTTTGTATCTGGGTGTTAGATCATCTCTGTGGAGAAACTCCCCAGTGCAATTAAAGGGGAGTATTGAGCCAGAGTGAAATCAGTGTGTTGACTTGGATATTTGAGCAACCACCTTTCAGCAGTGACTTAAAAATTGGCCTTCCAGCTGTCCCTGCTGGCAGGCTCTCCCGGCATCTGCCAGACCCCTGTTAGTGTCTTTTTCAACTTCCAGCTTGCTTCTACTTGTCTCCTAATGGATTTCCCCAGCGATTATAGAAATGGGTTCCAGGCTGACCTTCATAGAGCACTTAGGCAGGTAGCCCTGGCCCCTCTCTGTTAGTGACCCCTCCTTATAAATCATAGGCCCAGGGTGTCCACTTGCTGGGTTCACGGCAGGTGAAGTCAGTTTGGAGGCCTTCTTCACCAACTTCCAATTGTTCCTCTGGTGGGTATTAGTGGGGAGGGTCCCTCTGCTGACTGAGGTTAGGGGTTCGCAGCCTGCCTGCTGGGGGAGAGGGGGCTGCCGATTCCTCCAAATTAGACTCTATTTTCTCAACAGGAAGAACTTCCCCACAATTTGTAGTCCCCCTGATGGGTGATTCTTGGATGCACTTGTGGTCACTTACTGCCAGGTCCTTGCCCCTCACTTTGCAGGGTCTTGACAATACAAGCGCTTTCCCCAGACATGTCTGGTGACCTGGGTCCAGCTGGCTTGGAGCCTGGGCCTCTAGTCTCAGCATTTCAACAGCCTTCCTGAGGCCTTTGTAAGTGTGGCTGTTAACTCCTCCTGACCTTTTCTGCTTGGGGCTGATGAATGGCAGAGCTGTTTTTAACCTCAGTCTTTCTAGGAGTTGAGCTGTTAACACAGCAATGTTCTATAGATGCTTTAATTCTCTATTCTGAGGGCTGAGGTCATAGACTAGGGCTGGGCCCCTAGTCTCAGCGTTTCAACAGCCTGCTT